TAGCAAGACTATCGTGGCAGGTTGCTCATTTGCCGATCTGTTTATGCGTATTGTATTGATGCCCGAGCTGTATTCGTTTCGTCGGTCATATCTTAATATGCACCTCGGCCTCGTCGCCGACGACGTCCAGGTCCTGGGGATAGGCTCGGAGAGGGAGTTGCTCAAAATCGGTCCCGATGCGTCGCACCTTTTGATGAGCAAGCTGACTTTCTCGGCATGTTTACCGCTCTCCGGGGCGAAAATCGTGCTCTTGGCTACCGACCCCCAGTTGGCCCAGAGCATCGCAGCTGAAACTCCACGTCTCGCTGGTGCCGTCAAGTTCTCGCGTCGCAACCTCGGGGTTGACTGCCAGTTACGTAAGGGGCGTCGTTCTCGTACCGTTCTCACTGGTCGATTAAAAAAGGCCAGGTTTAAGGCCCGACGCCTACTGAAGATAAAGAAGGCTGGTGCAAAGGTTGCAGGTATTGTTAACACTAACTTGCGGCCCACTGTCATGTACGGCATTGATGTCGTTGGTCTATCTACTCATCATATTCGTCAGGTTCGTGCTATATACCACGCTGGTCTCGGCACAGGTAAGCGTAGGTCTGTCACGATGGATTTGGCGTTGCACGGTGTTACCGACCCTGCTATTGACGCACATGCCGATGTTATTCGCCTCTGGACCGTCTCTAGATGGGACTCTCTTCTTCCCGTCGGAATGATAGACCAAGTTTTCCAGTTTGCCTACGCCAAGGTGACGCCAGATACCCCGTGGACTGAACTACAGGGCCCAGGACAGATTTTGGTTGCCACTATGCTTAGAATTGGGTGGTCTGCGGTTTCGCCCACATTATGGCGAGCTTCTCGTGGAACGGAGGTTGATATTTCGTCTACTTCCCCATCGTGAGGTGGTTGCACTAGTGATTCGCGACGCGTCTGTTTGGGCTTGGAAACAGGCCCCTGAGCGTCACCCATCCTTCAGTCATCTGTCTGGACCCCCTTGTCTCCCCCCTCTTCTTTCTTTGTTGTCTAAAAAGACTGAAGGATGGGTGTCCTCCAGCAACGTGATCTGAGGACTTTTATATCTGGGGGCATATACTTTAAACATATGTGCCCCATTTGCCAGGTTGTCCCTTCTGACCCCGTGTTTCACACCCTGTATGAGTGTGATGGGCTTGTGGAGTTTCGTCGTTGGTTCGGCCCGACTCCTGCCCTCACCCGTTGCATAGAGCAGTGCCGCGAGAACCTTGTCTGTACCACTGCCATGGTTCCCGACCCGCGCTATTGCTCCCTGCTGGCACCACCTTTCCCAGACCCTGTCTGGGAAGGGGCCACAGACGGCCCCTTTTTCTCGTCGCCTGCGTACGGAGACGGCTCGGGAAAGCATGGTCCCCCGCCGCTCACTCTCCGTTGTGGATGGGGTGTTTGCTCATTTGCTCCGCGTAGTCGAAATGTTTTTGGTGAGCCAGTCGCCAATGATCGGCTTCGGCTTAGTGCTGGGGCCTATGGCGTATATCCATTTCTCACCCAGGATGTTTCAGGGGCTGAGCTTTACGCGTTTTTGTTTTATCTAACTCATGCTGCCCCCTCCGACTGCTATGAGTTTGTCACTGGTGCCCCGTATGTCGTCGATGGTTGGGCAATGGGGTATGAAGCTACCACGCACGGATGGGCCACTCACGCATCCTTGTGGGTCCGCGTCCACCGTGCGGCTTCAGATATCGGGTATCACCTAATTAAGGTCACCAAGGTTCGTGGTCACTCTTCCTCTGTGGGTAATAAGCGAGCCGACAGACTTGCTAACCTAGGTGCAGACCTACACACTCTGGGCACGGTACTGCACGACCGTATCAAGCGCTCTGGTGTGCTGGTGCGCAATCTTGGTGTGTATATCGGTCACTGTATAGCATGGATGTTTAAGAATGTGCCCAAAAAGGTCTGAGCGGCGGAGTCTGATGAGTCCCCTGCCCCCACGGCACCATCCCTAGTCCCCTCTGGTGCCTCCTCTGGGGCCTTGCATGAGCACTTCTGGGACCCCTCAGCGGGTCGTTTTCGTTGTGTGAATTGTTGGGCTAGTTCAGTCTCCAAGAGCTACTTATTGCGTTCGCAGTGCTCTTCTCCCACTGGTGGTGGGCACGTGCTCAGGCGGCTAAATAATATCATAGTTTGTCGACGATGTGGCCGCTACTCTTGCAAGAAGGCAGTTGGTTTAACTAAATCATGCACTGGGCCCCCATCGGGCCTCTGGCACCATCTCACGGCTTCGGCGCATGTGTGATGGTCGTGACCCCCGCACTGATCAACCAGTCGGTGAGGCAACTGCGTTTGACAACGTCAACGTTATATATGCTTTTCCTGCCCCTCACGATGTTTTTAATTTTCAGGCATTGTTTGATCCTGCATGGCTTTTAGAGGCTCCGTATATTTCTCGGGCTTCGGAGGAGGGGTGGCTGTATCCTGGGTTGTCTGGTTTGTCTCGTCTGTCTGATGCTGGCAGGACTACTCGGATCCCCGACAC